CGCAACGGGTCGATACTACGCCGATCCGAAGCCAGGAGCCTCTTCCGGGTCTCCCACGTGGGTGCAGGTTCCCAAAGCTTTGGGCTGTCCTCGACTGCTTTCCCAGGCCACAGGCAGGGAGCTGGAAGGGAAGCGGGGCTGCCGGGATTAGAACCGGCGCCCATATGGGATCCCGGGCGTGCAAGGCGAGGACCTTTAACCACTTGCGCCACCGCGCCGGGCCCTGCTTCATTTTCTCAAATGCCACATTGGCAAACACCAAGTTCCCTGGGCAGCCCTCGCCTTCCTTAACCTCCCCCTGAACAGCCCTTCCCACCCCGAGGGTACAAACAGGATTCTGGCGGAAGCTCACACCTCTTTGTACCGTCAGTCTGACTGACTGGGCCATGAATGCCTTCTTGCCCAGCTCGTTCCTCGGATTCAGTGCTGAAAGGCAGGTGTTGCTGTACGCTCCGCAGCTACTGGAATGTTTAACTATTCACTGCATGGGTAAACAGCTGAGCTCTCAGCTCCCTGCTCTGTTTTTCTTCCATGTTCAACTCCATCTGCCACAATTGACCAGTCACCACTCACCTACCAAGTGTCCCTCCATTTCCAAGTTAACCTCTAACTTGAATGTGAAATGGGGGGGGAAATGTTAATCTCACAGATCAGTGACTGACAAATCTTTCTGATAGCTATACTCAATGTATTTTGGAGATTATTATTGCATAAATGAACTGTTTTTTTCCAAGTCCTTCATGACATTCTCACTTGAAGGTCATACAAGAAATTCAGCAATTTTTTTTTTAAAAAGGAACATTCTCCAGTGTTTGCTTCAAGATGGAATGTTATGGCTTTTGTGTAGATTATTATGCAAGTACCAGAGTTAAAGTTTTAGAATGTTTTTCTCCTAGCTTTCATGGCAAAGTGTGACCAGTTATTTCAGGTTAATAGAGAGGTGTTTTACAAATCCCAAAGCTCTGAATAATAAACTCTTAAGATGTTGTCACATTTGCCAGGAAAGGTAATCCAGCTGCGTCCAGTCTTTCTGAATATCTGTGAGCGTGCAAGGACACGTGCTGCTCCAAATCCTCTTTCCTTTGGATATCACCATGATAAGAACGGGAGCACCTTCCCTTACAACTCCAGGCGTGAGCCGCGCTGCCTGAGCCACAGCACTGACACACGCTTCCCACCGCTCTACAGTCACTCGGACCATGCAGGGACCACTGATCCCCACTATTCCTAAAAGCATTTTTGAACCTTGCATTACAATTTCAAGAACAAAGAACTGTGTTGTTTTCTAAACAAGGCCAGTGACGACAGAATTCAGTTCCCCAAAGCATAATGTCTCTAAGCCTTAAGTACATTTGGCTCTATTTACTTAATACATAAACCAAAACTGGAAAGAAAAGCTTTTGTAGTTCTGCCAATTCTTTTTTAATTGCTTATTTAATAATTGTAATTGAAAAATACAAACTTTAGCACAACATGATGATGAAGGAAAGGAAAGAAAATGAAGCTATTTAAATAACGCTATGTACCATGCATGGGTTTACTCCAGCTCTCTACATCCTCACACAATCGTCTAGTGGGGTAGGCAGCATCAGCAGAAAGAAATCCACAGAGGTCAAGGTCACGGATGATCGACCCTTACCTAGGAACTAACTGCTCTGTTACTCAACGCTTGGCCTACCTTTTTTGTTTTTACATTGCTATCTTCTTTTAAGCCAATATTATTAAATTAAATTTGTTTGAAAAGCAAAAAGTGAGAAAGAGATGTTCCATTTTCTGTTTCACTCATCCAGTGCCCACAGCAAGCAAGGCTGGACCAGGCTGAAGCCAGACTCCAGAAACTCACTCCTGGCTTCCACCCAACCGTGAGTCCTGCCACCTGCTGCCTCCCACAGTGTGCACAGGAGGAAACCAGAATCAGCAGCATAGGCAGATTCAACCCCAGAGACAGACAGGGAGGGCAGTGGTCCAAGCAGGCTGTTTACTGTTGCGGCAGACAACTGCCCCAAAGTCAAGGTTTAAAGACTAGAATGAACGTGTTAGGTTCCTCTTATTACTGGGGCCGGCTGGAATAGAGATTCTTGACTTCCTGTAAAGAAAGAATTTCTTTTATGAGGTTTGTCCTAAGCAAGGCAACACAGTTAATGAGATACGGCATTGGTCAGAACGAATGAGTTTCTCTTGGCACGAACCTCAGAGTGCCCAGTCATTGAAACTGGGGTAAGCACAGCAACAACATTTAGTCGAGAGAGCAGGCGTCACAGCAAAGGTGTGAGAGAGGAGCCCGCATTCACACTGGGGCTTATAAGGGCCTGCGGCGCAGGTCTTACCATCATTCATCTTCCCCCCATCTCCTGCCCCTTTTTCTCCTGGACAAAGAGCTTGCCGAGTATGAAAGATGAAATTCCTCCCAAGGCTTTATTGTGCAGCGTTATCAGACAGGGTAGCCCTGCCGGCACTAGGAAGTTTCTTAGGGGAAGGCTTTGACCACCTATGAAGTCACTGGGATATGTACTGGTGTACAGTGTGAGATCCAGGGCCGCTTCCAGTTTGCTCAGGCTCATTTCAAACACTAAGGTCAATCTTTATCATCCTACCTAACACTACCACTGTTAGAACAAAGCACCTGAAGCTTAGTGCCTTAAAGCAGTCTAACTGTTGTGTCCCTGGCCTGGGACTGTTTCCCTCTCTGTTTAAGCTTCTAGAAGTCCCCTGCACTGCATAGCCTTTGGCCCTGTCTCACAGGGCCAGTCTCCGTGTTCCACTCTGATACATCCTCTACTTATTCCAAGCCTCCAGTCTGTCTGCTTCGAAAGCCTCTGTTGACACCCTGGCTCCATGAGTGCAGTGTGCAAGACCCAGTTTGCTATCTATGAGAACATACACACATTTTGCAGGCATTAGGATGTGCACATCAGCGAATGGGTGAGAGGAGTCATTGTTGAGTCTAACATAGGAGGCAAAACCTCTGAAAATGTAACCTAGACCGGGACTATTCCATACCCTAACAATTACACATATATATACACACTCAAAATTATATATTATAAATCAAGATGTATTTAACGCTATAAAGAATTTTAAAGAAGTCCATCTGCTCACCTGCTATTTTATTGTAAATTTTCATTTTCATAAGTCGAGTCCAAGCTTTACTTTTTTCCTGAACATTGAAGAGAAGCTTGAAAGGCAAGTGATCAGGAAGCCGCTGCAGAGTTTGTGAGAAGCAGCATGCTGACAATGACACTGACTACAAAAGGAAATTTTACTTTCTAAAGTTTTCATAAAATAAACTTATTCTTTACTCCTATTATGCAAATTTTTGCACTAGTTTTACCAAAAGTCAGATTTGCCATTTACTTTCTTTTTTTTTTTAATTGTTAAAATCATTGATTTTATTTTATTTTATTTTATTTTTATTTATTGTTGCTTACATTGTATTATGTAGTACAGTTTTATAGGCGCTGGGGGTTCCCCCCACCCCTTCCATATCCCTCCCCCCATGGTGGATTCCTCCACCTTGTTGCATAACCATAGTTCAAGTTCAGTTGAGATTCATTGCTTGCAAACACATGCCTAGCATAAAGTTCAGCGTCTTATTGTCCAGATAAGTTCAGTGGCCTCTTGGGGAGACCTTCTATGGTCTGAAGATAGGTCTAACAGAGTAAAGATCCGGTCAGTTAAAAGCCCCAACAAGGCCTCAGTATCAATATACAACACTATGGAATTAATTGACATAGTATTGGGTAAACAATATGTTAAAAATAATGCAAGTTCCATTCTTCGAAACCTCTGGGTTGAGACAGTATCAATGACAGGTTCAAAAAATAACAAACAACCAAACAAAAAATTACAGGTTAAATCAAGGCAAACATGTGGTATCTAATCTTTTGGGATTCGCTCATTTCCCTTAGCATTATAGTTTCCAGTTGTGCCCATTTAGCCACAAAGAACTGCATTTACTTTCAGCATGCATTATGCAGTTACTAAAGCGGCAGCACCTCCCCGCCCCCCCCCCCCCGCCCCAGGAAACAAAATACAGTTAATGATTTCGTTTTTAAAGAAGATAACGTTTCTTAGTGGAGCTTGAATGGATGGGATGAATGGAGTTAACCAGGACACACTGACTTTTTACATCATCTCTACTGGTGTCAGTCACCACTCCCTGGACAAGCTAGGCAGGCAGCACTTCAGGGCTAAGCAGGGAAAAACAAACTTATTCTTTCAAGGGTGGCTCAGCTACACAGATGGCCACAAATATATACTGGAAGAATTTTAGTACTCAGAACAACAGTATTACACGGAGATCAAAGCTAGACAAACCATGGGGATACAATGGGTTTGTTGAAACACCAATGTATGCCCTTTATTTTGAAAGATACATTAGCATATTACTTTAAACATCAGCGTTACATAAAGATACACTTCCAAAAACAGCTGTGACATATTTTTCTTCTTCAAGGAATAAAACATCACTAAGCCATAAAAATTGTATAAATTTCAAAGTGTGATGTTCATTCTAGAGTATTTTAGTTCATAAATAAAAATGTTCCAATATTTAAATATGCACAGTTGGTTAAAATAAATATATTAACAATGGAGCCTTCCTCAGACTTTCTGGGAGTCAAAGGACAGAGGGAACAACACAATGTTTTGGACAAGCAAAGGTTGGAGTTTGGATGTCAAATGTATACATATACTGTGGCATATATTTTACTACGTGTGTGGGTACATATCTAATATATTTAAAGTTACATGAAATAGATGTCTTGTAAGTGGATGTATGAAAATGTAGACACTAAACCTTCAAATGGAATTTATTTGCATCAGGCCATAAAGTTGGAGAAATGGCACAATTATTGGTTACTTAGAATTATTTGACCTGTGAAAAGTTAACAACAAAATACGAAATGCTGAAAATAGCATGGTTTAAAGAATGACAATTGTAAGAGGGAATAGGTATTTGCATACTAATTGTAATGTTCCTACTGTCACATTACCTTCAGCTTGAAGATCAGTCAGAGAGAGAAAGTCGGCACCATCTGTGACAGTCAGACAGTGCAACGAGAAATGCCAGTGAAGTGAGTTGCTGTTTAAAGCTATTTTTATCTCAGAAGATGTACAAATGAAAACTTGAGTCTTCATGCCTCTAGATGTTTTGTTTCCTTCATTTATGATAAATATGTTGATTATTGTCTTTCTTCCTGATTTACTTATTTTCCTTTCTCTATTGATTCCCTTTTCTTTCCTAAAATATGTCAGCAATGTGTGGATTATTTTGCAGTTAATTTATTATAAACATGAGATAAAAGTGAAGAAAAAACTTTCATGTTTTCATTATGTGTTGGTTAATTTAAAATTACAAAATAAGCTAGAGATAAGATATATATGATTCTTATAAAAACTATTAATTATAATAATGTTTATTGAAAAAAACTTGTACATGTATATTTAATGCTGGGTAAGGAACCAGCTGTCTCCTCCCTGGGCACATGGATGCCTTGCCTGAATTTTCCATTCTCCAGCACACTGCTAATTGAGTGTGAACAGCTAAGTTGTTGGAGCCCACATTTTTTAATGCAATACAACTGGTTCTAGCTGGCATTATTAGCAACATAACCAGTCACTTTCACACAGCTCCCATCTGGCGTGGCTCTTCTCTGGACACACAATATGAATACTGCTGGCCTGGGTGGCACTGGCATAATGAAGAAAATAGCAAGGCAATCAGCCAAACCCCATGAAATACTAAGTGTAATTTTGGCTCCAGATACACAGTGAATTTTCATGGCAAATCACAACATCCACCGTTACCCTAATTAGGCACCACTATTTTACAATCAATAAAGACGCACAGAGATAAGAAGTGCTGACAAAGCTTCTGTTGAAGTTATAAGTAAAACTGAAGAAAAAGAAAAAAAAAAAAAAACAGAGTGTTACACTGTCCATTTAATTAAGGCAACACACATCCTATGATAGTTAACTAAGTCCATGAAATTGAAATCAGCCACCTTCTTTTCCCTTGGGAGTTTTCTTTTTTGAAATGTATAAGGTTGCATTGAAAAATACTAAGCCATCCTACTCATTGGGATCTTACATGAGAAATAGTTTACTTAGAGCTGACAATGTATAAAGTTTAAGACTGGCTTCTGTAAACTTTCTATTGGGAAACCAATTAACATAAATTATTACTGAGACTAAACATCTGCTTTTAAACACTGTTGCAGAAATATCAATATATTCTAGATATTTTCCAAATGCAAATAAAGTACTAGCTATAATGTAATAAAATACAAATAATAACATAAAACTAATATGATATATAATATAATGTATTCATCTACCTATTTAGTGTGAGATGTGAAGGAGTTTGGGTTATGAGCAAACAATTCTATGAATTCTGTTTGGGATGTTGCACCAATAATTAGCATTTCTGAGCCTCATTACCAGTACAGGAAAAACACCAGATTTGTTATTTTCAAGAATAAATGACATAAAGTATACTTGGAACAATGTGGTATGCATTATAATCTTCAAAAATTGTTACATATGTTAGTGCTATTATAAACAGTCTCTCAATTTATTCCTAAATACCAAATATTTGCTGTTCCAGAAATATGTAAGATACTCAAAATTTCATAATTCGAATGGCAATGAACTAGTACTATTCCCTAATATGGTTAAATGTTACCTAATTGCTAAAAAGGAAAAAAAAAGCTGCATTGCTTCCAACAGTTAGACAGGTCAGATTGTCAGAATGGAAGCTTCTCGTGATAAACAAGTTAGAAATAGTGAGCTAAGAGCACTGTAGACATTACCCCGTACTGGGATGCGTACTCCTTGAGAAGGCTGAAGGCAACTTTTCCCTTTATGGTAATGCAACATCCTGATTAGTGTAATTCTAGAATATACTACTGTCTCCAATTCTATTGTCTATAGTATCCTGAAAATCAAAGCAACATCTATAATCACACTGTGATCTTTCTGAAAAACAAAACATTAGGATTTTCTTTAATTGTTGACTCTATTCCAGCTCTTATACCCAATTTTTAGGGGGGTTGTTGTTGCTCTCAGCGCTTGCTGAAGGCCTGGACTTGCTCTGACCCTTCCAGAGTGGACGCTGCCCATCCCCCTGGCCCACACAGTTCTGGGTTAAGGATGAGTTCCATCTCAGGCTGGTGCTCAACCAGTCATGCTTTCATGCCATTTCCTCCTTGTCCCCTTCCCCAGAACAACTGGGGTCTATAAAGTTAACGCAATTTAGCTTCAATACTCTTCCTGAAAACCATTGGCCTATTCCACTGATGATTCAAACACTTGCCGTTATTGTAGGTTTGACCATCCTGGAAGTTGGTTGTTAACAAATTCATCAAATATTTTGATATACACTGTTCTCAGTGCTACAGAGGAACATGTACTTGTCTCATCAGATAGCTTACAAATGGGGAGCAAATGTTCACCCTTGAATCAATCTCCCCAGATTTGGTCTCTCAGGATTTTCCCTGGATGGCCCCTCCTCACTCAAAACAGGTGCACTGTGTAGCCAAGTTTCTCTCCACTACATTTATTAGCTAAGTGATTTCTAGTTAGAATAACCAAACCAGCAATTCTCAGCCTACAAATATTCTTAAAGCCTGTACTCTATGTGATAATATAATTTTAAATTTCCTCACAGGCCTAATATTTGGGTGATTTGAAATAGGAACAAGCTTATTCAAGTAAAGACTATAAAATGCACAAAATCTATTAAAAATTAATCTAGGACTGAAAGTTGGAAAGTGAACAACTGAAATATATTTAACTCTCCATTTGAGTGAAAAGCTACTGCTTCAAAATGACTTCACAGACCATCTTGTGTTCCCCAAGACATAGTAAGTCAGGGGAGAGACAAAAAGTCAGTTGACCAGAACAGGAGAAAGAAAATTTTAAAAAATGGAAAGTAACTAAATGAATTCCCGGTCACAAAGACATTTCCTGGACACTTGTGAGAGCAAGTATTGTCATTTAGGAAGTATTATCAATCATAACAAACTTAAGAAAAAGTTATAACGGAGCTCATTTGCAGCAGTTAAAGTATCACTGGAGTTCCTTGCATCCCAGATTCAAGTCCCTGGATTGGATTCCCACTCTGGCTTCGACTCCAGTTTTCCGTTAACAGGCATCAACAGCACCTGATTGCTCACAAGATTGGGTCCCTGACAGTCAAAACAGAGACCAAGCTGAACACATGCTCTGCGTCATCAGCCAGACCTAGTTCCAGGTTTTGAATGGGTTTGAGGATTTGATCTCTCTCTTTCTGTTCTGTCTCTGACCTTCTACCTATTTCTCAGACTTTTAAAATAAATTTTAATTAAAAAGAAAACTGCAGCAAACTACAAAAATTATAGAATATGAAAGCAGAAAGACCACTCACTGTATTATATTTTAGTTACTTTGGTATGAAAATATAAAATGCTGCAAGAATGATAATGTATGAGACTATCTCTATTTTATTACCAATGATTTTAATCTTAAATTAGACCAATATTTCCCATAATTAAGTTATTTGCATGTAACAGCCACAGAGACCAACACATTTTTGCTTATCAAATAATACTTTATATAGATCATCATGATCTGTGCTTATAAAGGGGAAGAATGTGTGATATATTTGCATCTCAAAGTTTCTATCTTAAGTCTGATTTATCATTTCAACACCACATTCACAAAAGTATGCCTTTTTCAGATAGAAGTCCATGAATATGTGGCTGCTTTAGAAAATTTATTACTCTGGACAGAATCCTGGATTTATGGAAATCACTTCAGAACATAAATATACCAGTCTAAGAAGGACTAACATTGCAGTTTGAATAGGGCAAATAGCTCTTAAAATACTATCAAAATCAGCACATGTTAAAAATGCTTGAACCTTTTTTCAAACTTTTTTGAGATGCATGCACATTAAATAGTTTGAGAATAGTTCATTTATCATCATTATATTAATTATGCAAGAAAAAGCCAAAGCATTATTATCACATAGGTTATCAATATGTTCACAGCTTTAAAAAAACTCACTGTTGCTCCACAGAACAAGTACATTTTGTGCCTTTTTTCTTTTTAGAGTTTGCAAACATTACCAACAATGTGGGCTGTTGAATCAATAAATAACTTGGTGATATCAAATTGCATCTCACTTCATGGTGGTATAACTATAGGCTGCAAAAGCTTTATATATTTTTTGCTAGCATTTTACTGTTTGATGAATGGCATAAAATTGTTTTAAATGATATAATTTAGCAAATAGACATAACTCAGATATTGCTATAAGTTATGAAAGAAAAAGATCACAATGCTACTGTCAAGGGTAGATGCTGTTTCTACAGGTCGCCAACCACAGAATCAATGGCCTGGTCTGAAAATATGGACACTCTCTTAGCCAATCAAGGTAAGATTCAACTGCAATCGAATTTTTAAGTATAACCAGTTAAATTCCCAAAATCTAAGAAACAAGTCATGAGTGTGAATACCTGAGCTATTGTATTATTCCTAACAGTCACAGAAGTGTATAAAGTCCCAAAGCCTAAATGTAACACACTTAAGAATAATTCCATATAGTCAAAGAAGCCAAACTTCCAGTTAGTCTGATGTTCTCTGTTTCCTTAGACTCAGTATCGCCTCATGCCTATCATGACTGCCTTTGATAGAAGTAGGATGAAAAAGAGTTTAAGCAAACCACTTGTTTTACATGTCCTGTAGACTAAAATAAAAACAAATATTTTACACTAATTTCTATTAAATTGCTCTCACTCAAAGTAAGTACAAATACATATTGAAATGCACATTGCTTTAATGTATAATATATACACGTAAAAATATTTATATTTAATAGGAAACCTCGATAAGGTCATTCTTCCAATTGTAAATAAAACTCATTGTCTTTGATACAAACCATTCCTTTTTAACTAATGAAATTATTCCTATGCCAAATGGATAGAGTTTCAAAAAATAAAAAATTTTAAGATGTTATTAAACTAGAAAATGTTTTCAGAGTTTTTTATGGATGTATAGACTTTAGTTAATTGAAATAAGCTTTTATATTCTCTGGCTTTGTTATTCTTATATGGGCTAATTCCTGAACATGAACATGAACATAAAATCATTCATGTAACTGCCAGGATATATCTAAGGATAAATATTAAACACATCAAGTATATGTAATTGTCTTCTTCCTCAATTTTGGGTGGTATTTTGCCCCTGAATGCATAAGTGATGGGACAGATTAGATGTGTTAATAGCTTTGTAAAGCAACCCTGTTGGTTATGACTTGGCAGGCAATCAACTAGAAGAGCTCTTTACAACAAGGTAGACCAGAAGGGGGTTGTTGAGATGAAGGTAAATTCTTCCATATGCATGACTCCTGGGATTGTATATCCCATACACACGCAAAATAGAAAAGTCACAGACTGATCTCAACAGCTGTTTAGTTTTTCTTTTTTGCAATACTGGAGAAATAACAATACCACACATGTTTTTTGATGCTTTAAACTGCCAGACAATTTGCCAAATTATTTGTTTTTTGTTTTTTGGTTTTGGTTTTTTTTTGGGGTTTACTTTGCATGTACCGGGCATAGTAATTAGTGCAGTTTCCATCCCTGTTGTTTATTCCATTGGCATCCTCTGCTGTATCTAACAGTACTAAGTCTACCCATGGAGAGTGCTCTCAGTGAATGATTTTAAACACATGAGATTGTAAATAGAACACTCAAATTATGCATATAGTATAGAAAAGTAGACCAATAAAATTTGGGCCAAGATTAGATAAAGCAACCCCAGTTTTTAAGTTGTTTATTTTTTACCCTTTCTGTTCTAAATCAGTGATGGAAGGAGGAAAGAACAGCCCTTCATTTAACAGACAGGGAAACAGTAACTGCTTCCTGATCTGTAGCTTTCCATCTCTCTAGAATGCATTAGACAATCCTCACAAGGGGAAGCCTGCACATGGATAACTACACATACAAAACATCGCAGGCATGGAGCTACGCTATTCTTCCACTATTACTAAAGTATATGCTATCCTCTGTATAAAACAGATCTTCACATAGATTCCACTTAGGCATCTCAGATGTGTTATTGTTTGGACCATGTTCAGGAGAATGTTTAATTAACTGCAGCTAACAGAACTTTTATAACTTAAACTTGTGTAGCAGAAACTCCTTTGGATGTATTTTTAAATTCAAGAGATGTGCAGTGAATTCAATTTTTATACAGAGTTCACATATTAATGACATCCATCTTCTCCAATAGTTCTACTGAGAATTTTAATTGCTACCTGATAGCCTTTTGCAATGACTTGTTAGATCAACTCTATTGCATATAGTAAAATATGTTAATCAAGCTTAAGTCCAGTGTTTTCAAGCAGTTCTACTGTCGCCTATAAATGGATTTAAGCTCCTTATACATAACTTTTATACTGTCTCTTTTCCCTACCCTGTGATTTTCTATACATTCATTTCTTCTCTACTTTTGAACTGAAAGGATGACTTCAGCTTGCACACAGGGAGAGCTGCTCCAAGCGCATGCAAAGGGCCAGCTGTAGGAGAAAACCACCACTGTTTTGGAAGGCAAATCTCTGAATGGCAAATCTGCTGATGGGTTTCCCTCCTCACAGAGAGGCAAACAGATATTGCCTGCAGAACTCGAGCTGTGAGCAAGGTGAGCACCAAGCACAGGCATAGTTTGGTCAACAGAGAAAATCTGATCATCAACTCCCTAATCTAGAGGAATACTCTCACATACTCAATCATAAAAAAACAAGAACGATCTTCTCAATAATCGTGGGGTATACAAAAGAAAATACTTCAAGACCCACTCTGATGAACAAAGTAGAGAAGGAAGGATCGAAACTGTTGGCCATAAGCCCAAATATCTACAGAAGCAAAGAATAATGGGTAAATATGAATGGCAGAAAGAGGAAGAGACAAGGCAACTTTAGGATCGCAGATGACAAGTTCTGCATGTGGTTACTAAATTTTTAAAAATACAAAGGAAATGTTCCCAGAAGGAAGTGGATTCATTTGCATTCCCTGGTCTAAAGTTTCTGAACTGCCAGGAGTGAGAGGAAAACACCACACACAGCTTCCACAGAGAAGGGGAGGTGCTGAGGAAAAGCCTACTTATTTGCCTGTGGAATTAAAATCGCAATATCCTCACAAACAAGAGGAACATTTTACTGTAACTTTTCTGGTTTAAACACTAAAAGTGGCCAACATATCCACCCCAAAACAATCATGCCAGCCCGTCCTCCTCTGCTTTAATCTCCAACCAATGTAGTTTGACTGTTCAGTAATAATAAGTTGTTTTGCTCTCCAATTCTTAGCAACAAACACACTCATACCCCAAAGTCATCATAACACTACAAATTCAACCTGAGTTCAGGGCAATGAGTCAAAAAAGGACAGTCAAGGGACTTCCCAAAGAAGTAACACAATGCCAAGAATTTTCAAATATAGAAAGAAAAAGTATAGGTTGTCCTGGTAATGGAGTTAATTTTGCAAATACTTATATTGGATGTGAATGATTAATGACCCAGTGAGGTTTTATAAAGTTAGAAACTGAAAGAAAAAGTTGTTACAGTCACAAAGATGATAAATATTTCCACTGGATACTCAATAAATATTCCCACTATACAACATACTCATTTGGGACATCTTGCTGCTCTATGAGATAAAGAAGTTTTTCAACTATATTTTGTAGCTGGTCTAGATGCTTTTCGAACATTTCTAAAATCAGAATTTAGTGAAGAAAACGTTGAGTTCTGGCTTGCCTGTGAAGACTTCAAGAAAACTGAAAGTGCAGAAAAAATTGCTTCCAAAGCCAGGATGATCTATTCTGAATTCATTAAAGCCGACGCTCCTAAAGAGGTGAGTGAACCATGCTTGAAGCCTCTCCTGCTGTGGTACCTACCCCGATGAGGAGGCCTGGGGGTCAACTAACTGGCCCTTACCCACATCCTTTAGAGGTAGGCTCCTTCAGACATTCCTGATATTGATTTCTTTCACTGATTTACTAAATATCTTTAATACCTATCATGGGCAACATATGACCAGTATGTTTTTTTTTTCTTGGCACTAGATGTAGGCTTTAGTAAATTGTATTTAATGTCACAATTAAAACAGCTTTAAAATGAAACCAAGAGAAATTCTACCTCAAAATGCTGTTAGATTTCCAGTGAATTTTCTTTGTTTTTGCTTTGACTCACTATGGAATTAAGCAAGGAAAATGTAGGATAGATTTCTTTGTATTTTTTTAAAGAAAAAAAAACCAAATGTATGAGAAGAAAAAAACACTTTCCAACTAGCAGGATAAATTTTTCATTTTTAACATATTAGTAGTTCACTTTATGGCATGGAAGGTTTTGGTTAGCGTCATTACTTTGATTATAAAAGTGTGCCAAAGTCTTAGCACTGGGTGATATGATCTGTATCTAACTGTGTTGCCTTAAAATCATGAAAACACAAAGGACTTTACAGAGACGCAGCTAGGAATAATATGAAAAGTCTCTTTAAAGCATTTTATACCTGAAAAATATAATTTAATTTATTGAACCAAAACCATGATATTCCTACATTCTCTTTCAGATTCAACTGTAAAGTTTAAACAATTTGTATTTTAAAACTGCATTGGAGTTCTTGCTGAATATATGAGCCAGGACTTCGAATGCAAAAGTAACAAGGCAACAGGAAATTATGTTAATCTACCAACGCCAAACATGAACCACTTCCAGAAGTCACGTTCTGTGGAGGTGGTATATCAATATCCCTAACACTAACAATTAGTATAATTTCTAATTGAACATTAGGATTTGTGATAAGAAAAAGATGGTGGTATGTATGGAGACAAAGAGAACTAGATGAAATGCAGTCCTTTTCTACCAAAAGCTTTATTTCTCTTTTAATAGTCTCATTTGTATGGTTTCCTAGACTAGGAAATCCAGATTCCAACATGGCATTAGAAGGGAAAGAAAGTCAGCAATCCTTCTGACAAAATACAGCATTTCTTCTATACAGCTGCACGATCGATTTGGTCTTCAGAGACTGATAGGTGCACTTGAGCTTAAAGACACAAGGCTAAGGCATTCTGCACCTTACAGCATTGCCTTGTGCCACTTACACTCACCTTAACTCGGCAGGTTGTGGTCACTGTAGGAAAGCAGTGTGCCTGACTCCCTTTCAGCCCTGCCAGCAGCTTCAGCTTCTGCACATCTATTTCCAGCAGCCTGTGCACGTTGGGATTTTGCATGTGTCATCTCCGTTAGCACCACAGACACGGCAGAAGCATCTGGGCTCTGTTCGCCTCCATCTTTGCTTTGACTTCTTGTCTAATTAACCAAGATGGTTTTAAAGTCTATTTTTTCTGCGTTTTTTCATGCCCAATTTAAAGTGTTAGTACTATCTCCCGACTTGTACCATCTATTTCAGTCTCCAAAACCAATGCTAACAGAGAATGCTGGTTTGGGAGTGATAGATTTATTTTAAATGCTACAAAACCCGGTGTTCTCAATTTTAATAGCCACCCTTGAGAACATATTTCAGTATATTTGTTCACTTTTAATGATACCAAAAGTTTGAAGTAATATCAGAGTTGTCACAAATGATTAAATTGAATTAGGTAACAAAAAATGATCAGAGATGGCTTTAATTTGAATGGTAATTTCTACACTCTGTTGTGACTGAGGTCTAAGATGGGGCTCCATTTTTTTTTAGTAAAGTGTTTTTCTTATGTATACACACACTCTTTGCATAATGACTGTCTCTTGCTACACTATACATTCTAAATGAGGAAAGCCTGTCCAATTTGAATATGAGAACAGAGTAAAAAACTTTTGATTCAAATTATGTAAAGGTATAAAAGCACAACATGGGGTCACAAAAGAGCCAACAAGTATGCTGTAAAATGTATTTTTTTCTGTTAAAATAATTTAACACTGTTGATATAAACAAAGGCTTTTGACTTGCATAACTTGGGTTATTTTATTTAAAGAGAACAAACTTCATACATTTCATAGACAGCATTCTAACACACTCTTCCCTCTCCCAACTTCTTCAACCCCCCACAAGCTTGTTTATTTTTTTTTCCCCTCTTTGGTTTTTCCAAAACTTTCAGTTAACCAAATCAAGTGGGCATTAAAATATGCTAGAGCATTATGATAAAGTCATTTCCAAATGGCTGCTCTGAAAATGATTCAGAATCAGTCCTTTGAATATAAAGCATTCTTGTCAGTGTCAGCTCTGCCAAGGCCTTTTCAAAAATGACAGGGTTTAAAAGTTTCTAAGTGGTTGTGATGACATCTCAACTGCCATTTCATAAGACAACTTTCCGTGTGTTTTTTTTATGAGACTGGCAGTGGAGAGATGTCAGAAATCTAAGATAATTCACAGCGTTCTCAAAACTAACCAAATAAAATATTGTATTCCTCAAAGACCTTGAAGTAAGAATATTCATACAAACAAAGAAATGTCTATTCATCTCAGTAAATAATAGAACTCACTTTGCTTTCCTACACTGCGCAGCCTGGGCTCTGAACCTAACAGTCTGAGATGCTGGGCAGGTCTGCGCTGTCCTGTGACTCGCAAGCTGCCCCGAGTGCCTTGAATCACGGGGCTGGGAAGTCTGCCCTTCCGAGGGGTCACTTCCCGACAGACTGCATTTCCAATCTATGGCAGCTCAATATCTGTGAAGGTAGAAATGTATCCAGGAAACATCTTGTAGACCCCAAGCAAAACTCACATTTGAGATAAACGTCAAGGTTGATGCATAGTTCACACACAAACTCCCACCCAGCAGGGAGCGATTACTTAAAGGGAGACACACATACACATACATGTATATGCACACAGGTGTACTTCAAAATGCTTGCAAAGATGAATTTCCATAAACTTTCCAAAGACCCTCTTCATGTACTTCCTAATATTTTTCATTTTCTGCTGTTGTTACTGAAATTTCAGACGAGTTTAGGATGAAAGGGAAGCCTCTTGTAACCTGTTCCCATACATCACCAAAATTGACTTCTAGGGAGAATATAACAAAATTTATGACTTCCTCTTAATGGAAACAACTTTAATTGGTTTCTAGAACTAGGTCTCCTCCTCCCTCAGCTGCTTGTGCTCACAATCCCACAGAACCCCACGAACACTAAATGAGAGCAGACAGCTGGCATTCAAGAGAGACTTTCTTTTCTTCTTTTTCCAAGTGAAAGTTCCTTCATCAAAGGCAGTTTCATTTCCAACACTTTTGGGGTTTTCTTGTGTAGTTCTTGTTATTATTATTTTCCATGGTATGATTATATAAGTTTAGGGATCCCGTCACACATACCTCCCCTTACTCTCTCTTCACTTACTCCCCCTCCCCATCATTTCCCCCCATCTTATTACAATTGTACAGTCCCTTGGCAATAACCACAAATCCAACATTCTGCTATTTAAGTGATTCATGGCATTGTAGGAATAGGAAATGCTGGAATATCTAGTATCATATTGTCAAGGTATATTTAAGTTTCATTCGGAAGTTTCAAAAAAGGTCATGGAAATGGGCATTATGAAAACCTGTTCATGGACTTAAAATTACTTTTCCATAAAAATAAACCTATCTTTTAATCAATTTTCCACAAAAAAAGTCATCCTGTAACTCTTCTGCACCTTGTTTTCCATATCTAACACATCACACTCCCCGTCATTCTTTAGAATATTTCTTTTAAATAATTCATATTTTCCCACACCATTGTGATTTATTATCAAGATCCATTCTGAAAAATCTTGTAAGTTTTTGCACTTCTTTGATTCCCCAAGACATTACCCATCTGATCTACTACCACTTGTCCACCTGTTCTTGTGTGTGGTTTTCTGATCTCACTCCGTTTATCCATCCCAGCTATTATTCTATGTGGAAGCCAGTGACACGTTTATAAAAAGCATGCATTTACCTTAATCCCTTATTTGAAAACTTCTCTTTGGGATAGGTTTTTAAAAATCCTTAACAGAACCCTAGATTGTCCCACATGATCTGGTACCTCCAAAAGCTTTCCTCTCAACCTTTGCCTTTCTCGTCCTCAAACCTTCTGAGTATCTTCCTGTTTATGCTTCCATGTACAAATCTCTTCTTAAATACTTCATACTTACAATAATACTTCAAACACCAGTTAAATTCCCATTCGTGCAGCTATTCCTTCCCAAAGCAGCCGCTTTATTTGCAATGCTTTTACAAAACATGTCTTCTAGATTGACTTGTATCATAATCATCTTTATATCTTCAGTTCTTACCATAGTCCTAAGCATCTACAAAATAAATACTTCTAATAAATTCCAGAAATGGGTAAAACAAAAATGGGTTTTCAGATGTATTTGCCTTTTCTACTCCTACCCCCCAAAATGGGAATCCATCACATAGTCCCATATTTGATACACTTAGCTTGCAGCAGCCAAAAATCAGCAGAATAAATCAGCAGAACCAGTATTTTTTTTTAAGATTTATGTATTTGAAGGCCAGAGTTACAAGGACTGAGGGAGAGACAGAAAGAGTGAAAGTGAGAGTGGGTGTGAATGTGTGTGTTTGTGTGTGTGTGTGTGTGTGTGTGTGTGAAAGAGATAGAGAGAGAGAGAGAGAGAAGGAGAGAATTTTTCACCTACTGGTTCATTCTTGAAATGGCCACAATAGCCACCCAAATCAGGACTTGGTTTCAGCCAGGACCCTACAGATCCATACAAATCTACAATGTTGATGGCAAGAACCCAAGCACTTGAGCCGTCTTGCATTGCTTCTCCAGGTACATTATCAAGGAGTCAGATCAGAAGCAACGGGGACTCAAATCGGTGCTCATACTGGACACCAATATTCTAGGGGCAAATTAATCTGTTGTGACACAACAGTACTAGTCCCAAGCACTACTATTTATAAAAGTAACTAAGTTACAGTTAAAAATGCATACCATTCCTTAAAATATTTTGCTGTGGGAGAAGAAAAAGTTACTAGTAAAAAGACATGGTACAAACTACGGTATTCAAGCCTGTTGTTTAGCATTGAGGGATTAGCTGGAGAAATGCAAGACAAGCCAAGTGCGTGCTTTTTGCGAACTACTGAATTCCCTTTGTGATGACAAATCTACCTTCCTGAACGTCAGATCGCCTACATCATATTAGAAGAAGCTTTTTGTCTAAATCAGTTTAGGAAATCAAATTTCTTAAGATTTTTTTTCATCAAAGACATAATGATAAGAGAGTTATAGTGACTTTCCTTCTGTGGTCAATGAAAGTTTATTGGAAAAAATTCAACTTAAGCAAAATCATAAAGAAGATGGAAAAATTGCAAAGGATATACTTTAGGGGATCAAGGGATTTTAGGAAGTAAGGTAGTATAAAGAAAAAAATGTAGATATGTAGGGAAGATTTGTTACAAATGCTTAATTTGATGAAGAGTGAGAATTTAAAAAGAACACTGTGAAATTACAGAAAAAATAAAAATTTTATGTATACAGACACAGATGTACACAGTAAGAGATGATGCCAAAAAGAGGTGTCAGCGATGATTCCTGTTTCTAGCTTGAAGAACTTGGAGAAAAATGATGAGATGATATACACATGCGGGTGTCATGTTCTGTCACTGAATTGCCAAGACACATCATCAGTCAACTGACAATCTCCCAGGAACAGTAATTCTGCTCATCACTCAGCTATCCACAGCTGATGCTGACATTTCCTTGGCAAGAAAATAGGAAATCAGAAAAATAAGTGACAATTCAAAATATAAACTTGCTATATTTTAATAGCAATATTACCATTATTCTGAACTATTATGCTTTAAAAGCTAAGTATGATTTAAAGCATTTATGCAATCACATACTCGCTTGAGTTAGACAACATCTACTTGTTAAGGCCTCACTCTATGCAAGACTTAGTGAGGCATGCATAAAATGTAAACACAAAATTCTCTGAGAGGCCATAAGAAAAAAAATTTCACAAGTAAACTTCAGGTGATAGATGTTATTTGAGTTTAGTCATAAGCACAAACAATAGTGAAAGACTTAGGTGAACAGAAATGATCATTAGTCAAGCTAAGATGGCAAGAAGAATGGTCAGAGTTGGAAGAACACAAGGAAGTTATAAAAAAAAAAGTTGAGTTCAGTGGAACAAGAAGGAATGTGTTTAGATCACAATGTAAAGTCCATACATGTCGTAATCAGAGCTATGGACCTTCAAATGCAAACAAAGAGGTCATTGCAAGGGGTCATTCTGTCTACATTAATAGCAGCAGCAGGGCACACTGTTCAGTAGGCAGACCTTGGAGCTATTCTCAATATAAATTCCCATGATGAGTTACTACAAAGGTTATGTAGCTACACTCACCATTCGGGGAGATACAACATTGCAACAAATCATGCATGACACTATTGAACAATCAATAATACTAAGGGTTTATGTTGCGACATAGCAGAATAAGCCTATATGGGCTCTGTTTCGAGTTCCAGCTACTCTATTCTTGATCTAAGTCCCTGAAAATATATCTAGGAAAGCAGTAGAAGACATACCAAGAGCTTACGTTTCTGTACCCATATGGGAGCCACAAGTGAAGCTCCTGGTTCTTGGTTTCTGAAGGCAACTCTAGCCCTTGCAGCTCTTTGGGCACTGAACCAACCAGTCAATGGACAATATCCACCCCCCATCTCTTCTCTGTCTGTAATTCTGACTTTCCAATATATAAGTTTAAAAAAAATCAACAATATAGATGAATGGAGAAATAGGCAGCATAGATATCCTCATATGTCCATAACACATAATAACTTTAAAACCATTATAAGACCTGAATAGCATTCATAACACTGACAGCTGTTGATTCCCGCTACCAGGGAGACAAGATGCTTGGCTCACCACAGGAGGTATGATACAACTCCCCAGCCTCACACCCTTCAGCACTTCCTATCACAGGACGAAGCTCTTGAGGACATGATCTGGATGTCCTCCTCCAACCTCAGCCCTTTTGACCACGCACACTCCAGCTGTCTGAACACAGCAGGTCTCTGGAGGCTAACAAATTCGTCCTTGCATTAGAACTCCGCACTTGTCATGGGCTTTTACTGCTAATTCATAAACTATCTACAGCTGGAAGGTGCAGAAGCTCATAAATGTTAAGGATCCTCCAGTCAGCCTTGCACCATCTTTCTCTAAAAAGAGGAACAGTCAACCCCAGGCTTTGAGGCCTTTTTTTCAGTTCCAGCACCTGCTCTGGAACAAAAGGAATAACAAATACATATGTTCTGTAATCAGTGAGTACCTGAAATCCCTAAAGAAATAAAATAATTGTGAGCAAACAGAGTGAACTTCTGACAACTCTTTTCCATTTGAATTTTTTTCTTTGTCCTTTTCATCTTTCTATAATAACACTGCAATACTTTGATGTTTCTTGTGTAATTCTTAAAGAGCATTTCAAGATAGGTACTACTACTGTTTTCCGTTACCCCACCAGAAGTAAACATGAAATTACAAAACTTGCTCCAAACTACAAGTTATTGAGGAGGGGTTTTCTTGCAATTCTATCAGTCCACAGTTAAACTTGAATTCAGTCCAGCAAAAAAAAAAAATGTCATTTATAGTCTTCTTTGTTATTAGATTTCAAATTCCGGCAGACATTTTACTTCTACTCAATAATTACTTATGGATTGTCTATTATTTAGTAGCTATCTGTAATGCTGAAAAATAATATGAGTAAGACTGACAGAGTATCTACCTTTGGTTTTAAAGTTAAAAACTCTTAGAGTATTTCAGGAATGGCTTAGGTTAGAAGTCTTAAAAGTGAAATTTTCTGCTTCTCAGAATATCTCCTGGAAAGCATATAGAATTGAGCAAGTTTCTCCACAAGAAAGCTTAGAGAATTTTACCTATTTCTAGTTATGCTAAAGTGTAATAGATCTTCATTAACCTGCCGGGAGTACCTATGTGTGGCTATGGTAAAGAACAAAAAACAAAAGATAACTAGATAGACAAACAGACATCCTGTAGGAAATACAGGGGTCCGGAAGAGAGGTTTAGTTAGGTAAGTTTTGGTAAAGACAACAAAATGCAATGTCCTGGAGATTAAAAAAATAGGAAATGTAAAGAATGGGAATGGGCAAAGTTCAGCCTTGGAGATTCGTTACAGCTCTTCCCATCGGAAAGCACATTTCAGATATTCAAGTCCAAGTACTGGAACAAAAATACAAGTGGGAGAAGAAATGTAAAATCATAAAGTATCATGTCGGCTTTTCTACTTGTCAATTTAAATCCCAAAGTAGGCTTTTACCTTGTTTTTTTACCCCAGTGCAATCCTTCTCATGTTATGAAAAATAATGAACTCAGGCATGTGTTCTGCATCCCAGAAAACCAACGCATGACCTTTCTCTTGTTTTGCATCAGATTTGTTTCGTGTTTAGAAAGGAATTCAAACAATATGTGTATCTGCCAGCTGAATAAACTGTGTGCTCTTTGATTGAATGATCTAATGATATGCAACTTTATTTTCCACAGATTAACATTGACTTCAGTACCAGGGACCTCATCTCAAAAAATATTGCTGAACCGACTCTCAAATGCTTTGATGAGGCTCAGAAATTAATCTACAGCCTCATGGCCAAGGATTCTTTTCCTCGGTTTCTCAAGTCAGAGATTTATAAGAAACTGGTAAATAGCGAACAGGTTGGAAAACATAAAAAGTGGCTCCCTTTCTTGTGACAAAGATCAATGATAGAGTAATGAGTCACTACACTTCGACCCTACACCCTCTTAGGTACATAAACAAAATGCAGTATGTTTGAGTGCTTCGAGAACATTCTGTGATCACACAGAGGAGTGCACTTTTTAAATATCAGGTCTGAATACTTAAGTCTTTTTTTTCTACAACGTACTCATCTTGTCCAGCATTTAAAAGAGGCATTTTATAGAGATACAACACATTTCTAAACCATAAGTGGGTATTTTTGTCAATTCAAGAAACAATATATTCTCATGTTGCAGAGTGTGAGACTGTTTAGCATTTTGAACATGATTTTAAATATTGTTGGCATTATTCAAAATCTCACTTCTTTAAAATCGGAAATTTTAAACCAACACGCAACCTTCCAGTTAGTGCATCCAACTGTTTCTTTTTAATTATCACCAAAAATGTGATGTTTCCCCAAACTACGATGGTTCGCAATGCTTACACAAACTACTATGAGTCTCAAATTGTTTTAATTGCAAGACTGTATACACATGTGCATGTGTGTCTCATAGCAATATGGACCAAAATTTTTCCAGATACATCAGTTGATAGTAACTTGCATCACAAAGGTTTATGTACAGAAAAGATTCTGAATGTATAAATGCTAAGTTTCTTGTAATAGTGTGAAAATACAAGAAACTGGAAATAACAAGCATGGCCAGTTCCTGGTCGAATGTGTTGCAGAGTAGTGACTATTCCATAAAACAGGCAAGCATGGTGGTGTCATCTACTCACTGGTGCAGCTGGGTGTCAGTTCACTGATTCAGTACTGGAACTTGTTAAAAGTCTTGAAAAATGTGCAAACGCATTAGAGTTGTCATGTTACTATCATTATTTTTCATCTGAATTAAAATTTTGATGTCAATATGACAGCCCATGGTCAACACATTTGTTACGCTTTTGTTTTATTTGCCCATATTTATTTATCTTACATGAATACTTTTCTTTTGTATTGCTTGGCAATGAAAGATTGCAAGAAGATGGCATGCTTTATTTCACGTTTTAACAAATTATACATTTGATAGACAAAACTTCATCTCCTCTTCACCATGAAAAATAAACATGTAAGGAGATGCAAATGAGATTCCTGTACATTTGCAAGTTCTCTGAAGGATGGCGGAGGCGTGACACAAACTGGCTATGACGTACTTAGTGAATCTCAAAATGTGTGTAGCAGAGAGAAGCTGTGTACTTCTCATTTATTGACAGTCCCAGTGTTAATTTGGTTCCTAAGTGAAATAAATAATTTAAGCTACTCCCAGCTGAAGTAGATGTTTCAGTTAAAAGGAATTCTAACATTTATAAACTCACACACCTCCAGCCTCTTAAGACATGAATGAAGAAAAACAGAAAATGTATTCATTGCTAAGATGACACACCTAGTAAGTTGACCACGGAGCAGGATCTTTGTTCTGACAGAGGTAGTGGAGTCACTTCCTAAGTTTAGAACTGTGCCAGGAGTCTGGACTCTGAATTCCTACAATTAAATGCCCCAGCATATTTCCTATCATCAGATATTTGAACTGTCCCCTTTCTTTCCCATTATCATGGAGGCAGAATGCCTGTGCTATGAATGCGCCTAGAAGTTTCACTAATGATGTAAATAAAGGAAGCTACAGATCATATCTTCACCGCGTAGAAGCAGCAGGCGCTTGGCAGTGCCTAACCATACAGCAGCTGTCAGGTGTGTTGCTGCAAACTGGCTGGGAGATAGTCTGCAATAGCATCTCAGCAAAAGACCCCCGAAAGCAGAACGCACTCAGCCCACACTCCACACCAGAAAGCACTCACTCCACACCCCACTCGAGAACGCCCTCAGCCCACACCTACCCCAGAACGCGTTCAGCCCACACCCCATCCCAGAATGCGTTCAGCCCACATCCCACCCCAGAACGCACTCAGCCCACACCCCATCCCAGAACAAGCTCAGCCCACATCCCACCCCAGAACGCACTCAGCCCACACCCCATCCCAGAACAAGCTCAGCCCACACCCCACTCGAGAACGCCCTCAGCCCACACCTACCCCAGAACGCGTTCAGCCCACACCCCACTCGAGAACACGGTCAGCTCACACCCCACCTCAGAGCACGCTCAGCCCACACCCCACTCGAGAACACGGTCAGCTCACACCCCACCTCAGAGCACGCTCAGCCCACACCCCACCCCAGAACACGCTCAGCTCACACCCCACCTCAGAGCACGCTCAGCCCACACCCCAACCCACAACTTGCTCAGCCCACACCACACCCAAGTGACAATGAGTTTTCTGATTTACTAAAATAGAAAAGAAAGCAATTTTGAATTCTTCATAGTAAGGATTTTCAGTAAAATGCCAGGTTTACATCTTTAACATGCAATTGTGTTTATGGCTCCTTATGTTATTTTATTTCATCGATTTTCACTGATAAATGTTTTTGGATGAAATTTTTTAAATCAAAAGAATAATTTACAACAAGTAAATAACATTAAAATTACTGAAACAAAAACTTTCACGGCTTTGTAATATCTTTCCTAAAAATGTTTTCACCACGTTTAAGACGTGAAATGTTTTCATTAAAACCCAAGGGCTAAAATATTAATTAGAAAATATCAGAGTAGAAATGACCTTCAGATGAAAACACTTCTCCAAAATGCATGGTTCCTCACTTGGTGCCAGTTCTCACGGCACTTACACGTACCACCCCACAGCACAGAGAGAAATGGTAGATTTTTGACATAATTTTAGCTAGCTTACACAAATACAGCTTCTTGCATTTGCCTAGAAAAATGTATTTTTCCAGCCACCAAATGTAATCAAATCTTGTGATTATATTTTCTGATACTGATACTATAAGAGTGTAAAATGTTAGGCATTTCAAACATGATCTGAAGCTTGCGTTCCCAAACCTTTACTGTGCCTGCGCACTGGAAGTCATTCTCGGTCTGTGACTATGTCCCTTTCGGGCTCCTCTCTCTAGTTTTCCTCCTTTAGCAGTGACTTTGTCATCAGGAATGTTCCTGCTGGGAGTTCCTGTTGCTTAATAAAACCAGAGAACAATGTCTTCCGTTTCTCTCCCCATGCTTTCTAACAAAGCTTCCGAACATCTCGGCTCTCAGAATCCCAGCAGCCCATGGGTATAATTTTGACAGGGTGGAATTTCAAGAAAAGTTCAAGTCCACTATTCTAGAAAGAACCATGGGGGAGTGGGTGGGGAGGAAGCAGGGAGGGAGTGAAAAAACAAAGCAAAAAAAGACAATCCGGTTTCATTAACATTTCTCCTCATACATTATTTTCCCATGTAAAAGTTCTATCTGGAGTTCCATCCACACAATCCTTACTAAACTGTCTCAGTTCCATGCAATGTGCATCTGATTGGTCCCACAACCACACAGTCATTTAATCCACACTGCCCAGAGTGCGCCGGGCCCTAAGCTGGACTTGGGCAGTGAGTTAGGACCCGGACCCTCCACGTTTTACACATTCAGAGTTCGGACCCGTCCCATGGAGGCGCCACATGCTCGGCCGCAACCACGGTGGGCTTTCTGAGAGTTCTCTGCGTGTCTCTACCTCTTAAGTCAAATAAGGAAAACCATAAGACAGAAAAGGAGAAAGATTCGGAATGTAAAATCAGTTTTACAAAATGAATGGACCTGGGGCTGACATAATAACACAACAAGTTAAGCTGCAAATTCCTGCTGCTGTTCACTCTGATTCCAGGGCAAGGCTCCCTGCTGGTGTGTCTGGGGGCAGTAGATGGTGGCTCAAGTGCTCAAGTTCCTGCAAGCAGAGGGCAGGCTCAGGCAGAGCTCCAGGTCCCTGCCTGGTGCCAGCTGCAGATCCTTGGTCATCTGGACAATTAACTACTAGATGAAAGGTTCCTCTCTCTTTGTTCATTGGGTGTCCCTCTGCCTTTTCAAGCTAAAATAAAAAAATAAAATAATAAAATAAAATATAAAATAAAATCTTAAAAAAGAAAAGAAATATGAACACAAATATGAGCATTTAGCACAGGAATGAAGATTACAACACCCACACTGCATCTCACAGGGTCTGAGTTTTATTCCCAGCTCTGCTCCTGCCGATACTGGGAGGCAGTGAGTTTGTCTGAATTAACTACGTCCACACCAACCATGTGGGAAGCCTGGGTTGAATTCCCAGCTTCTAGCTCCCACACAATCTAGCTCCAGCTACTGCGTGATTGTAGACCTATGGGAAGAGAATCAATGTGTGCAAGATAATTCTCAAATTCATTCTCTCTCTCTCTTTTCTCTCTTCCAGGCATACAACTTCCCTCTATCTATACCTCTCAAATAAATATCTAAAGTAAAACCAAGAATAAATCCAACCTGTTTTATTATTTCCCCTTCGTGTTCTTCTGTAAGTGTTAGATGTTACTACTCTCTCGCTTATTTCCATCAACACAGCCATGTCTGAAGTTAGAGTCTCGTCACTTCTCTGCTTTCTAACAATCTTTCATTGCGGACTCCGTCTGGGCCAGGCATACCACACTGTGATTCACGCCGCATAAAGGGCCCAAAAGAGCTTTCTGTACTAGAAATCTCAAAAGTTACCCTTTCACCTAAGTTTCATGTGGTCAACTATTATGTTCAAGATAATTTTCACACTTCTTAGTCCAGCGCAGAAAATCATTTAGGACCAGTGTGCTGTGGCATGATAGCTTAGGCCTCTTCCCAGGGTGCCACATCCTGTATAGTCACTGGCTCATGTCCCAGGTGCTCTGCTTCAAATCCAGCCCCCTTCTTTGCTTATGGTCTGGCCAAGCAGAGTATGTCTCAAGTCCTTGGGTCCCCACGCTCATGTGGGAGACCCAGAGGAGGCTCCTGGCTTTGGATCAGCTCAGCTCCAGCCGCTGCAGCCACTTAGGAAATGAACCAGCAAGTACAAGTCCTTTCTTGCCCTGTGTGTCTCTCCCCTCTCTGTAATTCTGCCTTTCAAATGAAAATGAGTAAATCTTTAAAAATGCTTTAAT